CGGTGCATCGATAAGAAGGAAAGAATCGCGGTGCATCGATAAGAAGGAAAGAATCGCGGTGCATCGATAAGAAGGAAAGAATCGCGGTGCATCGATAAGAAGGAAGAAGCCCTAACAATAATGATAATATTATTAATGATAATACAGCGGCAATTTACTCAACTAGTGAACATTAAAATATAATATCAACTAATAAATTTCCTTCACTTTTCTAGCTGATAAAGTCCCTTTTCTGTATCAGTATGGAAATAAAAACACCCTGTTTGCCTACAATTAAAGAAAAACTTTAGGAGAAAATGACAACAGTTAAATTATCCAGTTCGTAATCAATATTTATTTATTTATTTATTTACGGCCTTGGGTTATGTACCAGTAATACTCCTGCTCCCCAAACTATATTTGAACTCATTTCTACTACACTTACGTATATCGCCATTAACAACATCGGTTTTCTTACTCCAAGTCTCAAGAGGGGCACCAGTTTACCTTATCTTGATATATTTGTGCCATCTTAACCCAGTAACCTACTGATAGCGACTGGGAAATTCGAGATGTAATTTAATTGTAGTAGCTTTTTATTGAACGATTTTGAGCCTAGCAAACTTTTACCTCTTTCTTGTGTTAATTACGACCATGCAGAGAGCTGGGTGATCCTTTAACAACTCGCCTTAATATAACATTTAATTTCACTTTTAGCATAGACAAAATCAGCCTGTACATATCTAGACATTTATCAAATGGCGAATTTCGTAAAATGCAAAATTTCAAAAAATTCAATAAGGAGTTACGAAATCCTGTCTCTAGTGCAAACCCTGTCAACACTAGTACATGACTCCCACGCCCCCTACCCCCATAACTTCCTCCCATCTTTGATACAAATACAGACAGACTATCACTTAAAAGTTCCAGTGATTGTCGAGTGTGAGCGGGAAAGAATTATTAAATTTACTAGAAACTGAGAAAAGTGTGATAGTCGACTAAATTAATAAAAATAACTTCTGAACTCGATAAAAGAGTGATATATGGATTCGACAAGATGGTTTGTCGGCTTTGACTGACGAGCTGCTAAAAAAACACACAAATTGTAATCTTTTACGGAATCTTTTCAAAATATCGAATGTGAAAAAAGCCTGAGATTTCTCAAGTAAATAAAATCAAATCAAACCGAGTTTTTTTAAAGTTAAGTTGAGATCCACCTTGATGCACTTACATTAAACTAGAGCACGTTTTTATCTGTCTTTCTTCTAGAGATTGAAAACATGACCAGAAAATCAGAACATTCTTCCTTCCCGGGTAATATCATTTCCTCTCTGAATACAGAATAATTCCACCTGATAATCTTCTCTTCCATTATATCTGTATTCACCAAACAATTTACTTCCTTCAGTTTATAGAATTTTCATGCCGGGTCCCTTTTTATTTCAATCCGTAGATGAACTATTAGAGAAAGTGATTTTATTATCTTGAGTAAAATTAGAGAATTATCTTATAGTAGTATTAGTATTATATGCGGTTTTTGATTTTTGTCTTTTTGATAATATGAATCACTTATTAAAGGAATACTACGTCTTAGAATGATCATAAAATTTAAAAATCTTAAACTTGGCCAATAAGAGTATATATTCATCAGTAGATATACCTGGTGTCATAAATAACATAACAGGATCCTTATATAATCCGATAAATCCAAAAAACTTAATAAAAATGCAATTAACTTTTAAAAACGCTTAATGTTATGATTAACGTTTGAACGAATGTCTTGTCTGTTAACCTCATTGACTTAGGTTATCACCCTTTCACTTAAAAGACCTTGCCAAAATGTTTTGGGTTCAGGGTTACGTTTTGCAGGTTTGGATCGTTTGTTCATGTACTTGTTGATCAATCACAAAACGCATTCAGAACAAATTTGGTTTGTCAACATAATTGTCAGATACATGTATATTAACAAAATTAGCTATCTCGTTAATTAATTAGGTAAATAAGTAACCATGTAACCACGGTTGGCACAAGTTCATCTGTTTAAAAATAGACGTATAACAGTTCTAAATAGTTGAATTTTCTTCATGGTAGTTTTTGTACTTTGGGTATGAAATTATGGCTCTTTGAAAAAATTGCGCAGCGAACGTTCCCAAGACATTTTGACGAAAACTGGCATAAGAAATCCTTCACGTCACACCGTCTGGTTTTATAGGCTACTATAACTCATCTTAATTTTATTTCAACCCTTCAGATGAAATTTCATATTTAGAAAATTAAATTTAAATCTGTATATTAGATTTCCATCACCTAGCTTCCAGTCCACTCTATCAATTAACATATATACATCATTCTTGATATACTCTTACCCTTCCTCTTATTTTCTGTCGTTTGAATTATAATAACACTACGTGTATATAGGTGGAAAATTATAGTACAGAAAATATTAAACAGTACAACTAAAGCCCATGTTTTAGAAGAGCAGATCACGCTCTGTAACGTGTAAATCATATATTCCCCGAAATATGAAAATC